CGTCGTGCCTTTGCCATTTGCTGTTTTGGAGCAAGCAGAGTTGACGTTCTTTTCTTGATTTGTAATAAAAGACTGACTGCTGTCTTTCTGTAGACCTCAGTTATTGGGGGAGTGTGAAGAACAGCTCTCAGGCTTCATTCCCCTCTTGCTCACCAAAATCCACATCCTAGAAGATTAATGCAATTTTGAAAGATTGTTGAGCCCTTTGCATTAGAAAAGCTTTTTAATTACACAGCTCAAGAAGTGCTGTCAAAATTATGCTCCTCAGAAATCATACAAGCCCCAACATTGCTAACCCTCCGTCTAGCTGCTACCTGATGTGGACACAGTCTCGAAACCACTTCGTAAGGATGTGTCCAAAGTCTGGCTCTGCATTAACGGCTGTGGTGACCGGTTGTCCATCATTAACACTCCAGAAATCTTGGCTTCATGTTGAAAACCTTTCCCTGCATCGTTAAGTAGGAAAATCCTGCAGCCCGTAAGTAGGCAGTAAGGAGAAGATAGGAATGATGTGTATGAGGCACTCGGCTCTTTATCTGTTAACTGTAGCTTTTATGTAAGAGATGAAATATCACAGGATTCCATTCATCTTAAGCTATTCTAAAAGACGGTTTTAAAGACTTAAAAAAGGGGGGGGGGGAGACCACCAACCCCTTAAAAAGACCCCTTAAAAGCAGCCTTCTGGGAAGAAAAAAGTACAACTGCCAATATTGCAAAGTAAAGAATATACCCATGCTGGTTTTTAGCCTTTATTTTAAAGAAGGAGGTGTGCTGAGCAGGGCGGTGCCATGCTTGATCATTCCAGCTGATAGAGTTTGAAAAACTGGGCTTCAAAACCTGGGGATACTCTCACAGCGAGTCTCTTCATCAGGTTTTCTCCCACAAAGTTTTAAAGGAGCACGATTAGTACTGATTTAAGAAAACTACAGACTCGTGGAGCTGCCACTAGTTGATGCTTCTGAAACAATCAACTAAAACAAGTCACATCTGTTTTGAGAGGCAAATACGGTTTGGGCAGTAGAGGTCGTGTATGGCATATGATCAGTGCCTCTTAAGAATAACAGTTTGGCATTTTAAATCCTTTACAGTTAATGGGAGGCTCTGTACTGCCCTAGAGTATTGCAGGTCTTGCTTCTTGGCCATGCAGCATGTTTATAGCACAGTATTTTCTTGGTGTGCACAGGATTGGCTTGTATGAGGGTGTTTTCCTGGAGACTGCAAGTCAAAAAAAATTTCCTAATAATCATATTGTAAAACTGATTCTCTATTCAAGGGCTAATGTGAATTTTTGTTAAAAAAAGTTAATTTAGTTTTCTGTTGATGAGTAATTAGGGAGGAAATATTTTTTTATTTTAACTGTTGTTACATAAATTGGAAAAATGAGCTTTTATCAGTTTGTTGCTACATTGACTGGTCATGTATAAAGAAATGAAATTCCCAGCGAGATTAATGCTTCTGGTCATCCATGATGACTCTCTATGTTCTTGATAGAATTAAAATGGGACTGGAGCAGGACCAAATATAGAATTTAGAGGGAGGAAATGTTGTCCTTCAGCAGCTGATAGCTATATATAGATAGATATATATATACACACACACACTGTCTCATATATATA